TTAACTAAAATCCTACACCTATATATAATTTGCACTAACCTTAAAACAATAGTATACTGACAACAAAGTGTAAAGTAAAACGAACATTGAACAATCTAAACGAATTACCCATAAATATTCCATATATTATCGTAAAGTGAGTAGCAATACCACAACTAACATCGTTCGATTTATTTACAAACCAAAGGTATCACGGAACATATTCAAGAGTATCATTGACCTGTTTTACATAGTTATATTTTATAAGCCATGAGAGAACTTCGTCTATATTATCTTTCATCTGATTTTGTAGATCCACAAGATCCATCTTTTTGGTCCGCTTCATAATTTTTATTATTTTGCACTTCATAACTTCAATGTTGACATTGGCCAGGCAATGTCCGATACATCCAGAACTGACAGGGACCTTAAGTTCAGGATTAAAAAGATTCATATCGCTGACCAGGTTATCATTTAGCTCTAGCTCCCCTAATATATTACCATTATCCGCGTCACGCCGATTGATAATACCTTCGTTAACCAGACGGTCAATGCCCGCTTTATTTTCGTCTAAATGGATTTGTTTATGATCATAAACGTCTAGTATTAGCGAAGCTAGTGCTGCATCGCATGTAACAATGTGTTCATTTATTTTCAGTTTTACCTCCGAGTAGTAATGGTTAAATTCTACCCTATACCCCTTATCTCTGCAGTAATGAAAAACTTTTTCCATTACTTCCTCTAACCTATTGTTCAAACCTGAACGTGTGGCCTTGATAGGCCAAAAGTACTTAGTAAAACATCGGACATTAATTCCAGGAATGGTAAGCGTGTTTGGCGAGTTCAAATCAATCCCATTTCCTTGGCCCATCCATCCGTTACCATGCGCGCCAGAGCTCATATTGCACCCCGTTAGATTCAAAATTCCTCCTACGCTATGTATATTCAACAGAAAATCTGTAAGAGCCAGTCTCGTTTTCCCAAAATACTTTATCCGCTCCTCCATACGTGTGACAAGTGCTCGCTCACGTTCCAGAGTATTTTCATCAAGTAACACCCTTCGCAAGACATCAACATGTATCAGTTCATGCAAATCATCACCAAATATCTCTAATAAGTCTATCAACGTGTCCCATTTTTTTACTTCAAACTCTTTCTTGATAATTTTTATACATTCGTGCTCATCAGTCCATTGTACTATTTTCTGTTTGACACGCCAGTCGATTAACAGTACAATAGCATTATGTACCTTGCTTTTATCCTTGACTCTTTTTAAAAACGCATTCTTAAGTATTTTCTGGTATTCTTCACTTCTAAAGTACATTTCGTTTAGTTCGGAACAATAAATGAATCTATCAACCAGGATGAAGTATTCCTTTAAATGTTGTGCCTTGTCGTCCAAGAAGCGTTTTCTCCATGACAAATCATCATCAATTAACCTTTTTCCTAGAACAATTCGTGATGCTTTCCCATCATTCTGTGTTATCTCGTTACTCGTATCTGATTGTACCTGTGCATCACTCTCGCATGTATCCACTTCCGGCTCTAAATAATCTCCTCCACCATTCACTTTCTCGGCACTGCTAGATGTCTTCACATCCTGTTCTTTGTTATTAAGGCTAGTATCATCTTTTCTATCCCTGTTTGTCCCCTCGATCAGACCATGGTTTAAAACACTTGTTATAGCCATCATAAACAGCTGCTCATGTATTCTCAAAGCATCAATGACATCACAATTGATCCTTGCACAACAGCGAATTTGTAAGCATAGATACTCCAAAATATCGTTTACGTCTCCTATCCTATCCCGCACCTTTCCAATCACATCTTCAACGCTTTTTCCACAGAACACATTGCGTATTTCATTCAAATACTTCTCTAATTTTGCGACTCTGCATTCTGCATCGCCATCAAACACGATGCTGTCCGCGTATATTTTTTTTACTTCCTCAAACCTCCTCAGCGCATCCGAGTACAACAACAGTTTATAATAAAATTTTATGACAGTACTGTCAAGCGAGTGCATGAGCACATCTTCCACGTTATGTGCAAAATTGATGTAAAACAAGCTGTACATCATCTTCCTGAGCGGCAAAACATTGCTCATTCTAAGATCCAAGTTACAGCGTATGTAAAAACGAGTAAGATACTTGAATACTCCACATACGCTCTCAACAGCACTTTCATAGCGTATTGCCTCGTTTATAAACTCTTTCATCGACGTGAATGTCAGACCTTTCGTATATGTGTCTATTTCTGCGTACAGGATCAAATACATTTTTTCGCCCAGTATCTCGAACGTATTCGTACGTTGTGTGCAATATTTGTACACTGCATTGTACGATTGGATGTATTCGTGCGATTTTAGTTTGCGTGCCAGTGCTGCTTGGATGGTCTTACGTAAAATTGCCCGTTGGTCGTGATCCATCTAGGGTATAAAATATAAAATGGTGTTAATCGTGAGAATGGGTGTATTGTGCTATGGAAGGGATATGAATAAGAACATAACGTGAATAAGAGCATAACGTAAATAAGAGCATAGAATGTAAATAAGAGCATAGAATGTAAATTATACTTTGGAAACGGTATAAACGAGAGACAAAATGCACTTAGCTACGTAATGTGGTAGTAAGACGGCGATTGGTACCAAGAAAGATTCAAAGAGATACGAAATGCCGAAGAAAATTAGATATAGGATGAAAGGCTCATTATAGGAACATTGACGTTGGATGAATAGCAGAAATGTTACACCATAAAGATGATCAACTACAATGAGGACCTAGGCGAAGAAGCGATAAAATGAGGTGTTACACCATAAAAACATTCAAACTACGTGTCATTACTTAGTATATGAACATCTTGGTGATCTAGTGCGAGTATTTCACCCCATAGTGCAAAAAATATGGAACATGGTCATTTAGAGAAACAAATAAATTTATCGCTCACGCCACATCACGCTTTATTTTCTATTTGTTGACAGTGAATACCTACAAAAACTGCAGTTGTGTTGATAATATCGCTTTTGATTTTAAGAGGTACATTGAACAACATTACTCAGCTCATTAACATTGTGTACACGTTTGATGCATTCGTCATCTCCTATTCATGGTGAAGAGCACTTTTATCATAACATAGCATTATTCTAAACGGAATACTAACCAGATTGATAAATGTTCTGTGGTTATTATTTGATACCTCGGTCTGTCAGTAAGCCAAAGATAAAATTATTGTAATATTATATCATCAACGGATCTTAAATATGTTACAGCTTTTTTTACAGTTAAATCATACCAAGGTAACACAAAATTTATAAGGAGCACAATGACATAGATCCGAACTACGAAGAATTTATTCCAATGATGCATCTTGTAATTAGTGTTTAAATAGTTATGGTACACATACAATAGTTGTTCTGCTCTTCTCTAAACTTTATAGCATTCTTCAAATATTTTTACACAACCTATAAATCATCTGGTTAATATTCCAGATGAAAGGTAAAACACACAATTTTTTCGTTCAATACGTTACTCTACAGTTGTTTGGACTTAGAATGATGAAGTGCAGAAACATCAAATAACTTTGAATTGCTGTGCACTCTCGTGCGAATGCTGGTATAAGTGCTCTTAGTTCTTTGAGCAGCCCGCATCCACCATCGATTAACGATCTATGGCCTACGTGACGGGGTATAGACATGAATATCCAATTACAACACACGGTTGGACCGTACAAAACCTGCAGATACGTATTTTTATCGTTTTAAAAGATGTTACTGGATCGAATCCTAAATATACTTTTTTAACTTTGTACCTGCAAAAACCTCTTCCTTTTATGGTAGACGTACGTTTTTAGATCATTATTTTTACGTGATTATACGTTCGTTAGTCACCGATACGGCAGAAACACCATTTCAATAAACGTGCTTTTCAGAGTGAGATGCATTCTACACGGCAAAACACTATTTTAACGAGTATGTGTGTAAAATGGGAATGAAGCATAGCAATGCTTTATTTACAAATTAAATTATTGTTAGTGTATAGGTGCGTATTGAACAACGGTGTTGTTGTTAAAAAGAACCTTCTGTTGTTTAACTGCGACATAAGAAGCGCGTAATATTACAGTTATAATTGTTTTTCTCTGTTTTCTTTCAACATTGATCCTTTTTAGAATTTTGATCGTACGCTTTGTTTAACATTAACTTTGTTCTGTTCAACGATTTAATTACGCTGTGATCATAGTACAGAGACATTGCATGAAGTGATGTATTACCAAACCGTTAATTGTTGTTCTACAGCTATGTATCATACCGTGTTACCACATCATATTCTTGTCAGCTTAATTTTTAATTAACTGGCACCATTATGCCAAATATTTCAGCTATTCCATACTTTCACTGCCTACCTCACATTTTTAGACCGTATTATACACCTAAACTACAAATACGGGCCATTCACCCGTATTTAAGTATCTAACACAGTCATTACTACTCACAACCTATTAGCTGCCATGTAATTCCGATTTTTACTACAAGCACGCTCATTTATCTCTTCGCTCCACATCATCTGACCAATACATTTTTACCGTATTCTCCATAATTTTCAGTTAATTAAGCCGGCTCATAAAAAATAATAAAAACTGCCGTACCCCTGATGAAGTACGAATACGACAGTACAGGTCTCGTAACGAGCTACATCTCTTTATTCTTTATAATACCTGTTGTTCTGTACATGATCTACGCGCACATGTTCACGAAGAAAACGGAAAGGTACACGTGCGCGTGTACAAATTGCCTATCAAAACGTGAGCGTAAGGACCGCACATTTCTGGTTATAATACCCGTGTTGGTGGCTGTATCGGCATATCTCATGTACAACATTTGTACGATTAGAGTGGACAAGAACAACGACATATTCAATCCGTACGAGGTACTTGAGCTGAGTGAGGGTGCATCTAAGCGGGATATACAACGCACCTTTAAGAGGCTGAGCAGGTTGCACGATCCCGATTACTTTGAAGGTCCGGACAAGGAAGTAAACGAAGTTAAGCTAAAGGAGATCAGCAGGGCGTACAACATGCTCAAAAGTGGCAAATTGGTGGTGAGCAAGAATGAAAAGCACCATGAGGTGATCGCTATACCCTCTTGGCTGATCAACAACGGATACTACTCATTGGCCGTGTACGTGCTCGTCTTTGGGGTACTCTTCCCATTTTTTGCATACCTGCACTGGAGGAAATACACGTACAAAAACAGGCTGGGCCTGTACTACGAAACAATGGAGATGATTTATAAGAGGATGCATGGCGAGTGCACCAACGTATTTATCGGTATCAGGGTGCTTATCAATATTATAGCGGATTCTAAGGAATTGATGGAACATTGCTATAAGAGGCAAATCGATGTAAAAGGATACATCGAGGGTAACTACGCTGTGCCGTTGAGGGAGAGCAAAAAGATCACTAACGGGTACAGCGTGCTCATCGATCACCTGTTCAGAACTAAATTTGCACATCCTAAAGATCTCGAATTTGTGCAGAAAAAGGCACTCGCAATACTTGAAGGCGTGAAGATGGTCGCATTTCTTACCAACAACAGGGCAGTGCTTGACAACGCATTCGATCTGGAGCGGATGATTGTGCAGGCGGTGCCTGACCCGTCTTTCGCTGTGATGCAGTTCCCGTACATCACGTACAACCAGGTATTTCTCAACAAAGGCAAGAGTGTGACTGACCTAGCGATGGCGATCAACAAGAACGAGCGTAAGGTATGCCTGCATGTGTATGATACTCTGCCAAGGAAAAGTATCAGGTGCAAAGATGTGGTGGAGTGTGAAAAGAAGAGCGTTTTTAATTTTAAGATTGAATTGATGGATGATTTGCGTAATGCACCGAGCTCGGAAGGTTCCAAAATTGGAAGTGGACAAAGAGATGGGAATGAAATCAAAAATGATGAGCAAAATGCCAGCGAGAGCATCGACAAGAATAGCAATCAATCTACCAACGATCTCCGGACGGGAGTGTTGATCAGGCAGGAGGGAGAACTTGATTACGAGTTGCTCAACACAGTAGGGTCGTACAGGCACGTACCCGTGCATGCACCTTACTTCCTCTCACGCGCTATTGTTGAATGGACGTTGTATGCGCTGTATGACAACGATTTACTGCCAGAAACAAAAATTAGATTCAGTGATTTTACGGGGACCAAGGAGGTGGTCCTTGACATCCCTGTTAAGGAGAAGAGCGGAATCTTGGAGATCGTGTTGGTGTGCGACCGGTACTTTGGGTGTGATGTAAAGCGGAAGGTGAGTGTCAGAGTGGTATGATTAAAGCCATTTGTGTTTTAGCCCTGTTTATACGTTGAAGCGAGCACGTGAAACGATACGATGAGGTATTTCAGCAATGTAAGTAACCGATCCGTGTCGTAGCATGTGGGAATAATGACCAGCACATTTGGTATGCCAGTATTGTTCGTATATTCGGTGTCTACCACAGTTCCAAGGACAATACTCGAAGATTAGCACCCTATCACTTATAGCGGTGCACAACGTAATTTTAGTGAAAGGGAACATCCGCGTACCGTCCGTGTTTAAACATGTGCACTTTTCATCACCATGAACATCGTTTTTCAGATTATATGGACCAGAACTGTAGATGTGTTGCCCAGGAAGTATTGCTCGTTTATTTTTGGCATGTAATAATGAAAGCTTCAGTACAAATAGTTAATACCACCTCCTTCATCAACATCAAATAGGCCCTTCTTGGTCAACACATTTTAGTTTTAAACAAGCCAAAGACCCGTGAAGTTGACGCCAGCACCACGGATAAGTCTGCTTAGACTTAAGGCATTCATTTCGTTAAATTAATAAATTTATACCGCTACAACGTTGCCCCTCTACGTCAATATTAAACAAGGAATTCTTTCCAGGTAAAATTTGTAAAAAATTAAGGAAAACGGTTCAATACGTGCATATTGTTCTTAGTCTACATGCTTTGTGTGCATTCTATCAACTGATGTATTGAGAACTTAGCACATCTCGTTTTGTTTTCTTGTACCCCGATGTATGCTTTTAAGGTACATCATTTACCAATAATACCACACGATCACAGTATTAGAACCAATATCCCTTTGTATTGCAGTCTTCCTCTGCTATTTTATCACACAGTGTGGTGGTATGCTTCCTCTTGTACGAGAACGTAATTGTACCGATAACTCTCCATACCAACATTAAATAAACCATACCCCCGTTATCAAGTCCATGTTCTTACCCCTCAGCTCACTATGATATTTCTCACCGCGTCTTTTGATCAAAATTACATTTATTTACGATTTCACACTCAACATCACCTAAACGGACATATTCCCTTGTACATCTCCATGTATTACCATACCTCACAACCGATCATATTCCCTGTTTAGTCTCCAATTTTTTATCTTTTATCTCCTACCTGTTGTTCCACTACGGTATGTCCAGAAACATTTGCACCGTATTATGGCAGTATTTAGAGATCCACTCATCTCCCATACCGCAGCAACACACTTTGGTCCCTACCGCAGCCCTTGTAAATCTCAAATTTATCCACAAAAATTTTTTACCCTTCTAATCCATGACCGACATAAAAGTACGAAAGGGATATCTCCACCGCTTTCAAACCAAAAAAAGGCGCCGTCGCGAGAATAAAACGGACTATACACACCGCCGAAACATGTTACGGCCCAATCTGAAGAATTACGGTGCTGTGAAAAGCAGATTGGTGGTTCGTCGAACCAACAAAAAAATAATATGCCAGATTGTTAAGGCATACGCGGATGGTGACCGGATTGTTGTGGAGGCTACAAGTGATGAGTTGAGACAGTATGGGCTGTGTGTGGGGTTGACTAACTACTCGGCGGCGTACGCTACCGGGCTGCTTGTCGCAAGAAAGGCGTTGATTAAAATGGAGCTGAACGATTTATATGCGGCCAAGAAGGCAGACGGCAAGATAGAAGAACAGGAGGATGTTGAAGATGAACGAAGAGCATATCAGGTGTTTCTCGATATTGGATTGGGTAGAAGCACGCGTGGCAGCAGGTATTTCGCCGCTATGAAGGGAGCAAGTGATGGTGGACTAAAAATACCGCACTCTGAAAAGGTCTTTCCTGGATACAAGAAAGACGAAGATTTTGATGCACAGGCGCTCAGAGAAAGAATATATGGCAAAACCGTAAAGGATTACATGACTATGCTCCGTGAGACGGACAACGAGAAATACCAAGGAATGTTTGCCGAGTACATCAAGAATGGCATTGCACCTGAGGACCTGGAGGCTATGTATGAAAAAGTGTTTTCGGAGGTGAGATCTGTCAAAAAAATCGTGGCAAAGGAGAAAAAGGATTACAGTGCTAACAAGAAGTACAAGAAGGAGAAGATGGGCGGAGAGGAGAAGAAGAAAAGAGCACTAGAAAAGGTTAAGGAGGTCGTTAGTTAAATGCCGCTCTATTTACTCGTATGTTTCTTACCAGTTAATTGCTGTGTGAATTCTTATTATACACCATTTCTTACTCATTATAAATCATAGAACACTAATTCTGTGTCAGTCTTCATCCTGTTTCGTTGTGCAGATCGTTTTTAGGTAGGTCCCTTGATGTAGTGAAATATCTTTTTGCTATTTCCCATGTTGGCAGTGCAGCATATTTGATAATCCTTGATTTTTGTTCCGAAATGAGTGAATATTCCAAAATAATATCATCCTCTCTTCGTTCGAACTTAAACAGTTTTAAAGCATTAAGTCCTTGAGAGTATAAAGTAAAGAGGAAAGTGTGCAATGCCAGAACAAAGCAACGGCCTATGAAATGAGCAGTTATGTCTACAACATAACTAAACAGCCGTTGTTCACAGCATAATACTTACATTAGATCGTCTTTGATAGTATCCACCTATAAAATCACGTTAACTTAACGAGCCTGTACCGTGTGTGCAGATTTGAACTGATAAAATGGTATGACTGTGCTTGACGTGTAACACTTGTCAAAGAATTTGATCATGACGTGCCGTATAAAAGTAAAAATGTCATTCGTTGCGTAGAGTACTGCAATACGCCAAGAGTAAAAAAATTGTGGCCGTGCTTACTAAACGGCGGTGATGTGCGGTAATAACAGCTCTAAAGGAGGCAACCCTAAGGTACGAGTGCCATAGAAAATAGCAAATCATACATTCGTTACCACAGGCAACCCACCGCACAGGTATACCATCAATATCTGTAGTCATACAGTTTTGATAAAAGCTTTGTTTCCTCATGTCAATATCAGGTAAAATTTCCTTCTTGGTTAGTAGCTGTGCTGGTATGTCTGGCCAGTATTCTTCCTTTAATGCGAATGTTATCAGAACTGCAGCACCACTTCTTCTATTTGTTTTGCATTCCATGACAGGAAGAAGCGAGTGATAAATGCAGATCATGTTGTTTAGATTTACCCGTACATCATAGCAGCTATCATGCCATCTTTTGACGCAGTATCTACTCCCTTTTGTACGTTCTAAGGTTCTCTTACCTTCTTATCATTTCTTGTTCCTCTCATTCTGTAAAGTTTCCTTTTTATGCATAATTGTGTCTCATTCTTCTACATTTATGTATGCATGAACAGTATTTTACTAGAAAATGTAATTCGATGTGCCTTAGTCTATGGTCCATCGCCTAGTTCCTTTTCCATAACGGTGCACCATACATAATTCTACAGTCGTCTCTGTGAGCCGTAATCGGCACAAAAAGAGTGCATAATCAACCAAAAATTATAAACACATTGTTTTAAGCCATTTCATCATCCTTGTCGTCACAACACGTCCAAATTAGCTTTAAATTACCATCACAAAAAAAGCACATCCCACCAACCCCAAGAAAAAGAATAAACAGATGCAAACTCATCATGCCCAGCAATACACGATAAAGATACTTAACAGCAATACAACTCTAAAAACCGTAAACACGAAGTTTACGGTTGGTAGGTCACTTAAATGCGATTTGCGTATACAGCTGCCCTCGGTTGAAGAGAAGCATTTGGTAATTTATTTAGGTGATAGAAAATATGCGGTAAGTGGTGATGATGTGATGGTTAACGGAGTAGTTGTTGGTGGTGAAGGGGTGTTTGAGTATGGGGATGTGTTTGATGTGAGAGGTACTCGGTTTGTTGTTATGGAGGATGAGGGGCGAGCAGATGTCATGGGGATAGGAAGTAAAGAGGTGAGAGACAGAAAGATTGATGAGGACCTAGGGGATAAAAAGTTGGAGGGCACAGTTGCAATGAATAAGGATACCGTAAATGAGGATGTAGGAAATAGCGCAATAGTCCGTGAACAAGAGGCCTCAGCAACGAAGAACGAGGACGTTGCTAATATGGTATTTGATAACAAGGAGGTGCAAGGCGGTGATCCACTAGCTACGAAAGATGGTCAACCAGCCACCGAAGGGACAACAGATCTTGCACCGGAGGTACACAAGGAAGTATCAAAAATAATACCAAGGGTGGAATTGACCAATGATACGCGGGAAGAAACAGAGGAAAAGTCATCCACAACTTACGAAAGCAACAAAACACCTGCAATGGAGCAGAAGATGCCAGCAGATGAACTGATTATAGAAGAGGAAATAATACACAGGGAGGTCATCAAAGAGACATTAAGTATTGATACTTTTACAAAGGACAAAATAGCAATGGAAGTGGCCGGTAATTTAAAAGAGGATGTAAAAAATGATATCAGAGCAGAGTTTGTCGAGGAGATAAGGGATGAACTGAAAGATGAAGTAAAGGATGTTATTGGTTCGGATGGTGTCAGGAACCTGCTGGTTGAGGATGTGATGGATAAAGTTGGTGAAGATATTAAAGAAAAGATCCTTAGAAAAGATATGGGTGCAGAGAGGGAAAATGCAGCGCAACACGAGGTGAAATCGGATGAAGCGAGCGTCAAGGTAGCAAAAAAAGTGAACGAGGAACCGATAAAACGTGAGGTGCATCAGGAAGCATCAGAACAGGTTAGTAAACGTGAACAAGATGTACATGGCAAAAAAAATGAAAAGAGCACGATCGAAAATAATCGAGAGGAAGATCAAGGAAAAAGTGCGGTTGTTAACGCTGATCAGGAGAAAACGAAGGCTAAAAATGTAAAGGAAAGAATGAATGAAGGCATTGAGAATCAAGGAACACAAAAGATAGAAGAGATGGTAAGGATCAATAATAATGCAGAACAGGGTAATATGATGGATGAGAACGTTGAAAAAGAACCGGTGAAAAGGGTGAAACGGGGAAAGAGTGTGAAAGAGGAAGAGCGCAAAGAAAAAGATGTAAAGAAAGAAGAGACGAAGAAAACCAGAGGTGGAAAGAAAGAAAAGGGTGAGTATGAAAATAAGGCTCAAAATGTAAGTAGAGAAGAACCGGTTGAGCACATTAAAGAGACAAAGAATAGTAGAAAGGCAAAAATGGATGCTGCACCAAAGAAAGTAAAGAAAGATTCAGAGGAACCAGAAGTTAAGAAGCGGGGAAGACGACCGAGTACAGCTAAGAAAGCAGTGGCAGACACAAAAAAGAAAGGTAGTGTCACCAAGACGGCTCCTAAAGGACGAAAAAAAAAATGATTGTGCATGACATTTTATTAAATGAATTGCTGTAGGTACGTTCTGATTGTTGGTTGCTTTTTCATTTGTTTGGTTAGGCTTTTGATGACCTAATGGGCAGATTTAGCATATGCCATCTCTGGGGTCCAGGTTTTGAGTCCTCCCAAGTATTAAGTAGGCTCGATTGATACATGCTTGGTAGAGAAATGATCAAGTTCCAAGACTAGCAATAAAAGAAATCATTTCTTGATTATGTATCGATTCCGCACATTTATCAGCCATC